CCCCGCTGGAGACGAGCCCGCCATGCCATCGAAGACCTGGGAAGGCAAGGGAATTAAGGGTCACATTGAAGGATGCGTTGGGGATCCTTGTGCATGCATTGCAGAGCTTGGGTACGTAGAAGCACACGCAACAACTGTCGACAAATCCTGTTTGTCCCTTTGCGCGAGAGCCTGCCTAGCTTTTGCATCGCACTGGCCGAAACCCATGTACAGATACCTAATCCTACCTTGGCGGCACCTTGCAGCGACTTCTGTTCTTCCCACAGAAATTAGGGGCCTAATATGCTGATGATGCTATACCCTATACTGTTGCTACGGGCACCGCAGATGGGCAGGAGAATCTGTAGAGCCAATGCACAAAAGTTGCTCTCCTAATGTCCTCTAATGCTTCGAAGGCTTGAAAGCCAAAATCTCAGATAAGATATGTGCTTTCTCGCACACAGAGAAAACCTACAGTGCGCATGGTAAGCCAGCGCTTCACCTACGAATCGAAGCCGTGTCAAGGCACACTCAAAGAGTTCTCCAGCTCACTTTGTCTCCCTGACCGACTGAGCCGTGTCGAGTCCCATTGTCTCCAGATAAGCGACCGAGCTGTCCAAGGCAAGCTGGCGCATGCTCTCCTCTGTTGGAACGAGGCCTTTGAGCGACCAATCATTGCCGCAGAACTTCCAGAACAAGTCCTGCCCATACCAAACAGTCATCACACAATTAATTTCTCAAAGGAAATGACAAACTCTCGAAGTGTCTGTATATAAACATACGACAGACAAAGGCGATCACTGCTACCAAATCGTAAACACCTGTGAACACAGTCCTCGTGCTTGCTTGGGGTGTCCAACCGCTTGTGGATATTCGTGTTGAAGGCAATGCGGATTGCATGCCATCGCTCACGGGAGAAACCTGGCTTCTCCGGCATGTACCTCCTCGCGAAGGTCGTTGGGGTCTTGCAATCCCCAAACCTCTCCCTCTTGGCTCGCTTCGAACCAGATGCCACAGCAGTCTCGTCGTTCGGCTTGACCGGGGACTTGCGCTTGCCACCTGACTCGGCACTCGCATCATTGGGCTTGACCGGGGACTTGCGCTTGCCACCTGACTCGGCACTCGCATCATTCACCTTGACCGGGAACTTGCGCTTGCCAGGCTTGGCTTTGGGACCCTTGGGAGCTGCTTTCTCAGTCTCTTTCGACTCTTCAGCGGAAGCCATCTCCTCATCAGAGGCATCCACAGCCTTGGCCGCTGCTTTGGCCTTGGCCCTGCGACCCTTGGGAGCTGCTTTCTCAGTCTCTGTTGACTCTTCAGCAGGAGCCATCTCCTCAATCGCTTTGGCCTTGGCCTTGCGACCCTTGGGAGCTGCTTTCTCGGTCTCTGCTGACTCCTCAGGGGGAGCCATCTCCTCAGCGGAAGGCTTCGCAGCCTTTTTTGCCTTGGCCTTCACTTTGCGACCCGACTTTGGCTTGGAGGGCTCGGGCTCAGCAGGCATCTCATCCGGAGCACAGCAGGGCTCGCCGCCCTGATTGGCCCCTTTGACTCTCTTCTTCTTCTTGCTCTCTGTCGTCTTCGTGCTCACCTCACCCGAAGTCACCTTTTTCTTGCTGTTGCCAGCACCATCAACGACGGCCTTCGCCGCCAACTGCTGGCGACGAGTAACCTTGCATGTACACTGTGCACCCAATCTAGACTGGTGATTGCTGTCTACAACAAACAACCACTGAATACACTTCAAAAAAAACAACACATGTAACTCTCCTCACGAATATTTATCCCTCTCTCTCTCTCTCTCTTTCTCGCGCTCCTGTTTGCTTTTAAATGTTTGTCTCTATCTCTCTCTCTATCTCTCTCTCATTCATCTCACCTTATATTGAACTATGTAGGGCTGTATGCAATCTGTGAACCAAAGCAATGCCTTTGGAGTCCAACTCTTCCCCTTCCAAATCAATCTCCGCATTCGCCTGGCGAAACTTGTGGGCAAGATCATCCATCACATCCGGTCCCACAACCTGGGTGTCCTGGCCCTCCCAGGAAGATGAGGATGTGTTGGCTGCTCCTGCTTCTATGTATAGGGCTGTGTCTATGCATGTTTGTATGTATACATACTGTATATGTATGGGAGAAGGCAGTCGAAACCTTTCACATGGCATCTAAACGGATATATACTTAGACAATCACAGAAATGCATGCATTATATTCCCCAGGAATGGAATCGGACTTTTACACAGACACGAATCGGTCCCGATGAACCCCTGGCAAAACAACTCCATGTGTCCTGGCCCATCGGCCTCTTCAGCAGCAGCCAAGCTCTGAAAGGTCTTTGCCCTGAGCATTTCAAGGGTAGGCACCCACAGGCTAGATTGGCAAGGGTTATGAACCCAGCAACACAAGCCACTAACCAAAACCCGCAAACACAAACCGACATCATACTCAGAAGACAAAACCACACCAATGTCCTGGAGACTAATTCCGAGCCCAAGAACAATGAAAGTCGTATCCACATCATGCAATCTTTTCTAACTGAACCGGAGCTCCTTTGGGACTGCTTCAGCTTCAAAAGGCGTAGCTTCGCGCTGAGTTCCTTGAATTTACGGTACGGGCTGGAGCGGCTCGGGGAACCAAACGTGTGGTTCTTGGATCGGGGCGGCGAATCCTCGATACAGAAAAGGTCATGTCCATCCGCAGTTTTCTTGGTCTCGAGCTCCACTTGGGAGTCTTCCTGCTGATCCAAGGAAGCCAAGCTCATCGACCGTTCCACTCCAGAGGCTGGTGCCGTTGCTCCAGAAGCTGCCTCTGCTTCTTCATCGAGCAACACCTGAAACGGGTGCGTCTCACCGTCCATCACCTCCGTATCGGAAAGCATGACCAGATCGCTGTCGTTGGCAGCCTCGTCGTCCTCCTCGCAATCATCCTCGGCTGTCACGATAGCACCGCCACTGCCACCGTCGTGGTCGGAGTCTGGATCGTCGTCGCCATTATCCGCGTCGGAATCATTGGCATCCTGTAGCACCGAAGGTTAATTTTGTGACCATTTTACAATGCTTGGATCTGGGTGTTTGCCCTATGTTTCTGTTATCCGAGTCCTGATCCTGCAAGATATCCAGGAGGCGCTGGAAGGCAGGAATCCTTGCCTTGTGCCCCCGGCTTCTTTTGCGCTTCACCAAAACCACGAAACCCTTGGCCAACCATGCATCTTTCTTGATATCGATGGACTCGGGCGCTTGCCCAGGGAGCAGGATCGTATGCAGCCGCTGAATCCTAATAGGTTGTACATTCGGAGAAACACAGCACACACACACAAACACATACACACACACACACCTTTCAATCAATAAGCCAGTACTTGAAGCTTGGTGTCGGGAGGACTTGTATTTAATTTTATGTTCCTAACACTCACCGGGACACTGCTGCTCAACCTGCTTGATCTTGAAGAGCTGGGTTGACCCATCGAGGTCCCGGTAACGGTTCACACGCATGAGCAGAGGTCTCAGCACAGCCTCGTTCATTGCTGCCTCCTTCACATGACAAGCCGGATCAAAGTTCGATCCGCCAGCAGAGGAAACAAACAGCCGTCGGTTCGAGCGCATTCTCTCGCGAACTGCAGCTAGGGCCTCCCATTCTTTGGCCAAACCATCTAGTGTTAACGGATGACCGAACTCCATAGCGGGAGGCGGATCAAAATCAACGACTCTGATCCTCACAAAAAGGTTTGCAGCCAAATGCTATGTATCACGCACACCATTTGATTTGCCATGATGCGTATTCGGACATGTTTCTAAGCAGCACAAGATAACTGCCGCATAGCACAAGCCCTCCCCTGAATCGCCGACTTTAGAATGCCTGACCAACACGTCCCTGATGAGGCCGCGGCTGGGCGATGCTGGACGTCGCCGGCGAGCTCCACTCTATCACTTCTCATCCTATCATCTCTCCCTATATAAGGTATGTTGTAAATCATGTTCGTCGTTGCATCAGAGTGATAACACATCTATTAAATGGTTGCCGACCCCTACCAACCCCCCCTTAACATGGCCCAGAGCCAGCCTGGGCAGACAAACAGAGGTCACTTCTCAAACAAGGGTCAAACCCCCTATAACTAAGTTTTCAATCCATAAACAAAGTTCTTTTTTTACGCCCTCTAAAAAGGAAGGACCCCCAGGGTCCAGGTAGGGCTTTTTTGGGGGAAAAATAAGATAAGCCCCAAATAATCTGCGTGGAAACTTTTCGATATTTGGAAAACTGTGGCCCCTATATTTGGAGGCTTGGGCTCGCTTTAGGGTTCGGGGTTTCGGAATGTAGGAGCCTAAACCTTAAATCGTAACCTTAAGCCCTAAACCCTAACCCCGAAACCCTAACCTTAAACCCTAAACCCTAAACCGTATTCGAGTCAGAGCTCCCACGGGTCCTTGGATGTCGGTGCACCGGCTGCAGCACCTGAGACAACTTCTCGAAAGCACTTTCCCGGGATGACTCCTAACAGAGCGACATGGCCCAATAGCTGTTAAACGCAGAAATAAGCCTGAAATTGCAACAAGAAGCCATATAATAAGATATATATCTATATGTACGTATGTGTGTATATATATATATAGCATTACTCCTTATATAGTATAGCATTACTCCTTATATAGTGTTGAGTGGGCATGGGCTCGCCAGGTTCAACAGCTTGGCTTCTGTTGTACTGCCTGAGGTAATTCTCGGGGATATAAAGGGATCAGCTGAGGTATGTGCTCTGTCGTACCCATCATACCATGATCCTTTGCTGAAGCTTATGCGATCTTCGAGTGGTCTTCTCCATAGCCGCAGTCATCCGATACGCCTAAACCTTGTTGGCTTAGGGTTTCGAGTCTGGTGGGGGGTCCAGTTTCGGATCTGCAGTTTTCGACTGAGGGTGTCTGAGTTCGTGATACCTGTCCTGCCTCAGTCGCAGAGGGTTTGGGGATGCCGAGAGTTACTGCACACTATGTCGGACTACTAGGTCTTCTGGGTTCTTGTTCGGGGATTCTTATAGTACTAATTGTGAGCTGAATGGTGCTTGGATAAACTCTATGTTAACCTTTCGTCAAGGCGCTAGTGTCCCGGAAAAACACGTCCAAGCGATACGGATCACACGACAAAAGCAGCATGGCACTGAAAGCAGACATCCAAACGCCTCGCTTTCGAATGATCTGAGAACTCAAACCCAGATGTCAGTCTCGTAACTTGTCCTCATATACATCGAACGGTAGTAGCGTGACTTGTACAAACCCAAAATGTAACAACCTTGCCACCCTGTTAAACACAACCGTGTCTGCGGGCCGGGCATCGCTGTTGACTGCCCTCCTGCCCGTTGCGTCCTACCACCCTGAAACAGCCAAACTCCGACGCCATACCCTCCCTAAACCCTATAAACCCTGAAACTTCTACCTCACACCCTCCACCCAGAGCCCCAAACACCCTAATCATCTCTAAACATCTCTAAACCCTGCAACCTCGGAAGGTCTGCTTGGCTTAGGGTCAGAAAATAAGATGCAGAGTATATTGCTTACCCTTTGGATCGGAGACATAATGTACTCTAAACACACAAAACCATAAGCCAAAGGTACCCCTAATTTTCGGAAAGTCCCATATCATTAACAGTATCAAACCCTAAACCCTAAACCCCTAAACCCCTAAACCATAATTAATTCAAACCCGAAGCCCTTAAGGTGCCGATGAGAGACTAGAATGACTAGAAAGATCCTTTAATGAAGGATACCTACCCATAGGCTCCATAGTAGTTCCGACGGTTTAGGGGTTTAGGGTTTAGGGTTTAGGGTTTAGGGCTTAATATCTAGGATTCTATCAGGTAATCCCAAGAAGGAACTACTATGGAGCCTATGGGTAGCAACAGCTAAGGCACAACTTTTGGTGAAAAGGGCTTCGGAGCCGCCGGGGAGATGTGGGAATCAGGATCCCTTCTAGGTCCTCTAATATATATATATATACATATATACATGTATACTTAGGTTTAGGGTTTATTTTAGGATCTAGGGGAGGCCATCTATATAGGCACATTCTCAACAGCAGTCTTCTTTCGTGTTTCCCAACAACGGCGTGGCACTGCTGGAATGTGCGAACTCCGCCGTCTGAGTCACGGTTTCGGTTCTAAAGCTTCGACGCAACAAAGTGCCTATAGTCTCCATTGCAGTTCATTTTCTAGTCACCTTCTAGGATCCTAAATATAGAACTGGTAAGACCAAAGCAGGAGCTACGATGGAGGGCTATAGGTGTATGGTCAAGAAGTCCCGAGGGCTTTGCAGCTTGCTCATAGGGGCCTAGCCATCAAGCTTGGTGTGTGAGCCCGTGACAAATCAACCTGGGACCACTTCCTTAAGTATACTAGGCTATGCCCGTTCATCTTGTTCTCATCCCCGGAAAATTAACCTGAACCTGGGATGCTCGATTTGCAAGTTCGCTACATGCACATTCTTCTCTGCTCCGACAGAAGACAAGATCTTCTATGTTCAGCAAGTCCCTCTCTACCCTACGTGGCCCAGCTGGAGGCTGGAAACCCTCAAACGACCCCCCAAACTCCACATGGAATACCTGGGAAGAACTCTGATCCCGGAACCCCAAACAATCTGCAATCCTAAGACAGAAACCGACAGCACTAAACAAACCATAGAACCGGATGCCCTGATAGAGGGGCCTCCCTATTTAGAACAGGTGATTTTTTTTTTGGGAGGGGGGGTATATTCTAGAACAGAGAAATACAGTGGGGCTGTGAGGGATAACATACTAATTCTTCCGCCCCGTCTTATTCAACCCCAAAGTAGAAGCCAGAAAGTTGAAACATCACTATCCTCATGCCCTCAAGGTAAAGTATACGCGATCCTAGCACTAATCCTCCTAAACCTATGTTCCAACTTTCTGGGGTTCGCTGTAAACCCTAGACCCTACCTGTAACTCTCTTTACCTACAGTTTAGCAGCCATTGCCCCTTAATTAGTAGGTAGAACCCATAAAGCTGTAGATAATTAGAGTCCCAGGTAACTCCTGCAAGTCTTGAGCGCCAAGTCTCGAGTCCAATACAGGG